GAAGCAGCAAGCTAATTAAGTTTTCCAGCCTACCACAAAAGACATTAGCCTAAAAAAAGCAGAGGTGCTGTTGGTCTGTAGAATTTTTACTCAGGAACTGGGGTTCAACCAGTTCTGGAAGAGAACATGCTTCCCAGAAAGATTAGTTCCACAGAGCCTCGATTCTACACTCCCCTGAACCTTCAGATGGCAGCAGCGGTGGAGGACGTTTGCAGTTATGCCTGGTACACAAGGTGCTGCCATTTCTGAGCTAGTCTGATCTGGCAGCGGTTATCCTTCCTTAGTTACATCATGGTTAGACTATTGCCATGTACTCTGCATGAGGCTCCCATTACAGAGCACCCGAAAGCTTAAACTGGCAACTGTCCAAGCTCCAAAACAGAGTTTGGTACTGTGAACAGTTTTTCCAATACTGAAAGATCAGCACTAGTTGCTGATCATTTTCCAAGTGAAGAAACAGTTGGTAACTTTGAACTTCATAACTTAAAATGGCTTAGGACCTAGCTCTCTGAGGAATCACCTATCATGGTAAGAATCTTCCTACTATGATTAGTTTGAGAGGGCCTTTTGAAGACATTCCCACTTACAGAGAGATACTTGTCACCCTAGTTAGAAAGGACTTTCTCCTCTTTTACTTTCAGACTCTGGAACACAATTCTTCTGCAGCTGCAGAGGGTGTACTCTCAGCATTCACCAAGAGGCTCAAGGGACATCTTTTTAATCTGAAGTTTTAAATTGTTAAAGTTGTTTTTAAGGGTCTACTATGTCTATATCTGCTTGTAATTTACATTTATTTTGCAAACTACCTTGATTGGCTTTTCCAGAAAGGCAGGATAGAAACATTTTAACTAAATGAATTATAAATAAATAAGGACATGATCCAATCCAGAGATCTCTAACTCTCCAAAACTGGATGATTACCAGCAACAGGCAAAGGGTGGAGGGCAAAGGTGACCTCCACAATCTTTCCTCCCTGAGAATCACTTAGATGGGTCATTTTTGGCTACCTAAGTGGCACAACACTGAGTTTTACATGGATTCCAGAAGCAACATGTCCACTGCTCGGTGAATGAATAAGAAGCCTGTCCTTGCATGAAGATTTGTTTTTATACCAAAGCCCCTGTTTGTACATCACAGCCTTGGAGTTTTTGTGTTATCCGCAGCATTCCCACCATCTTCAATTAATACATAAGGAGAAGGAGAAGAAGGAGTGAAAGCAGCAGCAGCAGCAGCAGCAGCAGCAGCAGCAGCAGCAGCAGCAGCAGCAGCAGCAGCAGCAGCAAAATAACTACTACTTGATGATGGAGTGTACTCTGTCTCAAGCTTTCTTTTCTAGGCAATGCATGCTGCATTCCAGGCTGGTACTGAAAAGCAGCATCACAATTTCTCAAAACACACCGGAACTTGAAAGCCCTATTCCTGCTGCATCTTGTCCATCAGAAGCCCATCTAGACTGCAGTGAATCACTGCTGGCCCAAATGTTGATTGACAGAGACCACAAGCCAATCTCGGCCCGAGACGCCGGTTTAGCGGGGAGACTCTTCTCACCCACCTGCAACCACGACAGAGGTTCTGGTTCAGTCATGTAGGCCCTGTCAGTCTCTGACAGGCTTCCAGCTGGTTGCCTTACAACCAGACCCATGCTGCCGCACATGTGCTTCAGGCAGCCATGCTGTCACTCTTCGTTACTCAATTAAATCAAAAAGAAAAGAAGGGTGGGGGGGGGGGATGAAGAAATAAATGGGTGGGAACCGAACTTCAATAGAACAGGATTTGATCTGAAGCTCTTTCTGACCAGCAAGTGATGCACTGTGATATCTTTTGTGAATGCTTACAGTTTGCACAGAAGTGAAAGAGCTGGACTTCTTTCTAGTCCTGGCATAGCAGTGCCGGGCACTGCATGCATACCTGCATGTGTGTTTGTGTGTGAAGGGAGGAAACAAGCAGCTAAAAAGTGAAGGAAGGGGTTTCTGAAAGTACAACTAAAATCAGATATTTTGCTAGCTACGCTTACTAAATAATTTTAGTACACGGAGACCTCATGCAACAAGCTCGAGCAATCTTTAAAGGTCCAGGACTTCTATCAGAAAAATGTGCTTAGAGATACAACTTTTCCATTCACAGATGAACTTTTCTCTCCCTTCTCCCACAACCAGTTCCCTCACTGGTTTGCCAGACTGAATGTTTGTTCCCAGCAGAGACTTTACTATCTCACTTTGCATCTAAAATTTAAGCCTACTTGCTAGAAAGTAAACCTTATCTAAATCATTGGAACTTACTTCTCACTGTTTGCTTAGGATGGGACTATACACTTTAGAAAAAGTCTACAAAGCAAATTACAAAAGATTGCAGATTTGATTGAAGCAGACCTTAGATTCTGTCTAGTGAACCCTGGCTGTGATGGAGGATGGAAGAAGTTGTTATAAGGGAGAAATGGGTGGGGGTCTGAACCCAACACTCAGGAAAGCATGAAGGAGAACTTCCAGTGGAGACTGGAGGGCAGGAAGGAGTGCTTAACCCTTTCCTCAGCTGCCAATTCTCCCTGCTAAATTTCCCAGGTTGCTTTTCCTTATGCCAGTGCAGGAGTGGGGAGGAATTTGCAGGTGACAATCTGTTGATGCAGGAAGAGTTAAACACTCCTTTTCCCATGGCCAACAATCCCAATATGTCAACAAAGATGGGTTTAGAAACATGTATTTGTCAATCCAACATCTCATTCAGCATTCCTCGACCTTGTTCCCCCCAGATGTATCGGACAGCAACTCCTATTATCTTCAAGCAAGCATGCTGGCTGGAAATAGCAATTGTTGTCCAATGCATCTGGAGAGCACAAGGTTGGGCTGCAATCCTATGCACAGTTACTTGGGAGTAAGCACCACTAAATCCAGTGGGATATAATCCTGGAAAAGCATGCATAAGATTAGGTTAGTTATTCCCAGGTTGCTTCACTGGTTTGAATGAGATATTTATCCTGATCCCATCCATGCTTACTCTGAAGTCCTACTTTTTTCAGTGGAAAAGTAAGTGCATTTAAAATTGCAGCCCTTACCTTAGGTATACCTAACTAGCTGGATTAAGGGCATGATGATTAAGGAGGAGCATCACAAATCGTACAAGAGATTACACTTGATGCCAGCAGGAGCAGAAAAAAAATTCCCTCTTAGTTATGGTTTAGTGTTCAAATCCAGCATTTACTGTTTATTGTAAAAATCACAATATACATTCTTTGAAATGTTCTATGAAATAAACAGGAGTGCATTCGCAACCAAAAATAACAGGCAAATCTATATACAACTGATTTCTACCATCTGAAATATAATCCACAGAGGTTGTTGCATTGGTGTGATATTCAGTTATCATATATGCACAATAAGCAGCTATAAGAAATAAAGAAAGAATGAGCTATGAAACCTTCCAAAAGGATAGTTCAGTCTTCCAAGGGCAAAAGAAAATTAATATTACCCAATTATTCTTTTTTAATGAAAACCTTAAACTTAGTGGTAGCGTTAATACCAATAAAATGTATCCATATTATAAGATAAAACTCCTATTAGCCACGATCGCCATTCTCACGGTGTGGCTAGTTTTGGTGACTTTACATCTCTCAGCCAGCAACGTACTTTTCTGTGCCGAATAAGCTCTCCCCCACCAAACACAGTCTCATCTGATATGTTCATCTAACCAGCAACACTATAATTTTAATAATGACAGGGGTTTAAATATGATTACAAGTCTTTCCTCTTGTTTTCTTCCATCTAAAAATAATACTATTAGTCATTTTACACATTTTTTTTCTTTTTTGCTGTCTGCTAGACTAAATACATGAACTGAAATTTCCACAACATCCCCTCTTGTCTGTCGTTTGTATGTCTACCAATCTTGAAAGCCTATCTTTACAGCTCTGTGATACTCCATACATTGTCAATTCTGAGGACAGATTTTTAAAAATAAATGTATATACATTTCAATCACATGTAATACCTTCAGCTGCAGGTGTACTTGATCTGATTGTAAAATATACCACAAAGGGTTATTTTTTGGTAAGGATGCATTGCCAAAAAGTATACTGTTTTTGGCATACTTCACTAATTTCTTTACCTCTATCAGTAATTGTTTTATCGCATCAAATTACCACCAAGTCACCCCTAGAAAGTCACCCTAAAAATTAGCTAGATATTCAATTGCTTTGAATGCAGAACATTTATAAAATTGGGGGTCAACTAAAAGAAAGCACCCTCACCTAACCTCCAAACAAAGCAAACTCTACACAGCAGGAAAAAAGGGGGCGCATCCCTCATAATGGCCACAATTAAGTTAGAAATGAAAATAAATGCTTTGTGTGCATTTAAAAATTATTCTGACTTTTGAAAGATTCGCCCCTCCCCACGGGTTTCACATAAGTAAGAGTGTACATGTCACCAAACAGAAGTCTTTATAGTAACAGATAAATATACAGAATTGGTTCAGATCCATTTATATGGTAATAAACTCAACTTGTATTCCGTTGTTTAAAATAAAAAGAATCAGACTGTTCATTTCCAAATAACAAGCTAAACAACTTTCCCCCTTCCTCTTTTCTATAGAAAATACAACTCCTGCTCCCCTAAAAAAAGCACCCTAAAGTGGGGACACTCCCAAGTTCCCCTGCCATGTTTTTGCTATTACTATTCCTATCATTTATTCCAGGGGACCTAGCAGACCACTTCCCCTTCCAAACTAGGTTCATGGGAAGTTCAAAGCACCAGGGGTTCTGCGTGTGCGCGCGCGCGTGTGTATGTGTGTGAGGGGGCTATGTTGTGTGTGCGTGATGTGGAGAAGCACAACAAAACCGGGGGGGGGAGTGGGGCGGGGGGGCGTCCCCTCCCCGCTCACAACCTGAAGGAGGCTTCAGAAAAGGGATGCTGCATCTTGAAACTAGACAAGAAGCACTGGAGAGGAGGGGGAAGGGGGTTCACGAGGGACGGCGGGAGGCTGGGAAGAAAGAAATCATCTCCTCTGACCTCTAGCGAAGTGCCAGGTTTTTTCTTTAGCTCTTCACATTTCCTAAATTTGCAGATCTGGTGTCCCGTTTTGCGGTTCCTGCAACTGCTGCAGACGCCACAGTTGATGAGCCTCTTGCAGGGCACGCAGACCCCGCACCTTTTCCTCTTCTTCTTGGCGGGGTTGCCGGCCCCTCCTCCGCCCCCTCCTCCAGCGCCGCCGCCGCCGCCGCCGCCGCCGCCTCCCCCGCCCCCGCCCCCTCCCCCTCCTCCGGCGGCTCCCAGGGAGGAGGAGGAGGACGAGGAGGAGGAATGGCTCTGCGGGCAGTCTGCCAGATTGGCAATTTGAAACGCACTGTCTGTGACGGCTGCTGAGGCTGCTGCGGGGGAGTGAAGGGCTGTCATGACGATGACCCCGGGAGGTAATGAGATGCCCCCTAAAGCCGGGATAGCGGAAAAAGTCCCCACGCGCTCGGGGAGATTCATTATCTCTGCTTCAGCAGCGCCGCATTTGAGCTTGTTCATGCATTCCCCAGCCAAAGGTCTGCAGTGTTCGGGGGCCAAGGTGGAGAGGAAATTATTATTTGCCATTTGCAACGAGGGCTGCTCGGCTGGCGCGCAGCCAGGCTTGCCCAGCCGCTGGGACTCGTTCCGATGGTGCAGGCCGCCGCCGCCGCCGCCGCCGCCGCCGCTCCTGCTGGCGGCGTGCAGCGAAGAGGCGGGCGACGAGGACGACGACGACGACGCGGCGGCGGCGGCGGCGGCGGCCACGGACGAGGCGGCGGCGGCGGCGGCGGCGGCGGCGGAGG